ATGGCTCTGTCCCTGCTTGCTTTAAACATGCTGTCATTCACCCTCTACTCAAAAACCCCAACTTAGATTCATCTGTTCTCCACAATCACCATCCGATTTCAAAGCTCTCTTTTTATCCAAAATTCTTGAAAAGGTAGTTTTTTCTCAACTCAGCAACTTCTTAGATAGCTCCGACATGCTGGATACATTTCAGTCTGGTTTTAGGAAACACCATAGTACAGAGTCTGCTCTTTTGAGGATAACAAATGACCTGTCCTTGTTTTTAGATTCAGGAAATTGCACTGTTTTAATTCTTTTAGATTTCTCAGCAGCATTCGATATAGTCGATCATTCCATTCTCCTGCATCACCTTGAACATGTTGTTGGCTTTCAGGGACAGGCTCTTCAGTGGTTTGCCTCATACCTTCAGGACCGAACTGCCTCTGTTAAAATAAATAACATGTCCTCTTCCTCCGCTCCCATCTCCTGTGGAGTACCTCAAGGCTCCATTTTAGGCCCTATTTTATTTTCACTATACATTTTTAGAAAACATGATGTCCTATATCATTTTTATGCAGACGTGTCGTCTGCATAAAAATGCTTTATCTTCCACTAAAATCATGCAATCCATACATAGCCTGGTTCCAGACCATAGACCCTGCCCACTCAACTGAGTAGGCTTGCATTACTGGTCTGGCATACTTCAATGAATTTGCGATTTATCTTGTCCAAACGATGGACGGACCAATGAACGCCGGGGGTCTAGTGATTAGCCAATCAGCGCCACGCTGATGTCAAGCTGTACGCCGGTGGGTAACTGGTGAGGACAGCAACAATGGTGACCGCTACAGATCCTACAGACCACATCAACGATGCTATCGAAGTATTTCGCCACTACTCGCGTTAATGGACGACCAAATTAAGGAAGCTGCTAAACTGGATTTAACGGCGATGCAGCTGGGCGTGCACGATGACAGAGACATTTTAAACGGGCAATGCTTGCTTGTTTTCGGCACCCCCGAGGCATGGATACTAATGACGTCAGATTCTGGGTGAGTCGTTGATCTCTACTGATTGGTTAGGGAAAAATCAAATTCCCTCCCCCTTGTAAATCGCCTTCAATGGAAGCCATGTCAGACTAAAGGTTCTGGGAGCTTCAGTCTGACACTCAGGCTAATCCATACAGTGCAAATTCCCTTTTAAATTGTATTGAGGATGTAAAAATCCGGATGGCAAAAAGCTTCCTCCAGTTAAACCATAACAAAACTGAGGTCCTGTTATTCGGCCCTGCAGACTGTCTCACATCTACAATCAATGCCCTTGGGCCACTGGCAATGAATGTAAAGCCCCATGCAAGAAATCTTGGTGTCATCTTTGACTCCGATTTAAAATTCGACAAACAAATCAATTCAGTTGTCAGTATAGCATTCTTCTATCTCAGATCCATAGCAAAAGTTAAAGATTTGGAGACTTTGGTTCATGCATTCATTTCCTCTCGCCTCGATTACTGCAATTCTCTATATACCAGACTCAGTCACTCAGCCCTATCTCGCCTACAGTTGGTTCAAAATGCAGCAGCGAGGCTCCTCACTGGAACCAAGAGGAGAGACCATATCTCCCCTGTACTGGCCTCTCTTCATTGGTTACCAGTGAAGTACAGAATTGATTTTAAGATTCTTTTATTTGTTTTTAAAGCACTGCATGGACTGGCACCTGGTTATATTTCTGAAAAACTTCTTCTCCCCTATTCCACCTCCAGACCACTCAGATCTGCTGACCAATCACTGCTCTCCATTCCACGTACCCTTTTAAAAACTAAAGGTGATCTAGCATTTTCTGTTGTTGGTCCTAAATTGTGGAACAGTCTGCCTCTGAACATCAGAACATCCCCCTCCACTGACATCTTTAAATCCCGTCTAAAAACCCACCTGTTCTCATTAGCATTTTAATTGTGATCACGTAGACATGTCTTACTTCATTTTAATTCATTTTATTTTTACTCTTTGTATTTTAATGGCTCTCATGTGTTTGTATTTGTAATTCTCTGTAAAGCACTTTGGTCAACGCCTGTTGTTTTTAAATGTGCTCTACAAATAAATTGACTTGACTTGACTTTTTGTAGAGAGCGTCTGTGTTTAGGGACCAGTCCAACTTATTATCCAGGTGTACACCTAGATACTTATAGCTTGGCACCACCTTGATGTCTTGGACCATGCAAAAGCATTCACAACCTCTGTTATTCTACAGCAAAAATTCTTTATTATTATCATTCCGCTGCATTTTTTGTGGTGTAACTACTTCCAAATACTTCAACTTATTAAAACCATTCAAACATCAAACTGTTCAGCTCAATTATGAATGGTGTGCTGTTCAACTTTTTAATATTATTTATACTTTCTTTTCTCTTTTTAATATTCAGCGTTTTTCGGGAATTTTGCCCCCTTCAAGCAGGAGGAATTTTCAAACTTCACACAAATTCAGATTTTTCCAAGCATTTTCAAAACCTCCTCCAAATCTCCTCATTCATACAGTCACATAGAAACTACATTCAAACGTTCCTCATCTTTCGTACATTCTTACATCCAATTCAACTGTCAAATCCCATTCAAACTTTTTGAAAAATTTAAGATTTGTTCGGTGCATGGTAAAAAACCACCTCCTTGGGTTTTATAATGGGTTTCGATGGGCGGAATGTGTCAGAGTTAAGGTTCATTCTCACTGCCGCGATGCGGAAATGCGGCACGGATTTGCGGAGTATTCACGCAGCGCTTTTCCACATTTAAACCATACACACAGGCGTGGTACAGAATGCGGAATTTCGCGTTGTTGTGTTCCAAGTCCGCGCAGTGTGAACGGGTGTGGGTGAACGTGGACAAGAGTAGCAGCAGCAACAGCAAGCTAGCAAGCTAACATTTAACAAGCGTCAACATCAACTTTCTTTAGCACTTACCACTCTCACCACAGCCACCAAGCTGGACACTGGACTGCCAGACGTTGTCCTTAAATTCATTGTTCATAAAATCATCCCGTCTTTTATCAAAAAGGACGGGGTGCTGTGAATTAAGGTTTATCAACCTTTCTCCCATACTGTCCTGCCTGACTGGATTTTGGACTCTCCCGGGTCTGCATGACGTCACTATAAACAAACAATTTCATTGGCCCAGCTGTGTAGTTCCGCCGGCAAATTCCGTGGGGGTCAAAGTCTGGGTGGAAACTTCTTTCACCGCACGAAAGTTCCGCCCCGGTGTGCAAAATTCCATAAGAACCCATGAAATCAGCTTTTATATTTTTCCGCAAGAATAATCCACAAGGATATTCGCCCTCAATGAGAATGGACTTTTAGAGTGGGGTACTTGACTGAAGGAGTAAAGAGAGCTTCTGAAACATTTCTCTTTGACTTGCTGCCATGGCCACAATTTTCACTCTACATACATCATTTTTAGTCAAAATGGAGTAAATTTGTCCTTATTCCATCAATTTTACTTTGGAAGCAATCAAACGTACACATTTGGCACAGTGAGCCTGAAAGTGAGAGAAACTCCACTGATGCATTGAACTCCATGTTAAGTGAGACCAGAAATCTCTAGAGGACAGAAGATCATGCCAGTTTTCTAACCTGCCACCATGCTCACATTTTCAGACTACAGACACAAATTTCACACTACTTATTTCCCAGGTTGTCCTTTCTCTCAGGGTATACAAATTATAATGATTTGAGTTATTGTTTTTGAAGAAATGCCAGCAGTTTGAGAGATACACCTCTCTTAAATCTCTATGAGACTAACTGCCTCAGACAGGAGTCACTGAGCAACATGGTAACATTACCATGGCAGCCTGAGCTCAAGAATGCAGTTAGTCACACACACTAATTGGACCCATTTCCACTCTTTTAGCTATTTCTAATACTTCACCTCATTCTTACACATTTAAGGCAGCATTGCAGTGTAGCGTGAGCTTTTCAAGAATCTTGAAACATTCCACAGTATTGGTGTCATTCAACTTTTCAATAACATCCAAACTAATTAAACCTTTTCACACATTTCCAACTACTCCTACTTCACCTTCTTCTTACACATTTAAGGCAGCATTGCAGTGTAGCGGCAGCTTTTCAAGAACCTTGAAATATTCAAAAGTATTGGTATCATTCAACATTACAATGTCATTAATACTCATTTGACCCCTTTCAACTTTTTTTAGCTACTCCTATCACTTTACCTTTAAAATTAAGGTAATAAAGGGACAGTGCACCCAAAAATGAAAATTCAGCCATTATCTACTCTCCCTCATGCCAAGGGAGGCTCTGGTGAAGTTTTAGAGTCCTCACAACACTTGCAGAGATCCGAGGGGGGAGTGGGTAGCAGCACAACTGCACACCTAATGGCTGACGGCGCCCCAGATTAAAATGTCCAAAAACACATAATTGAAACCACAAAATACCTCCATATCACTTAGTCTGTAGTGATCCAAGTGTCCTGAAGCCCAGACATAAAAAGTTGTTTGGAAAAACATCATTTGAACACTACGGAAGAGCAGTAATCTGGGGCCACTCCCCCCTCGGATCTCTGCAAGTGTTGTGAGGACTCCCTTGGCATGAGGGTGAGTAGATAATGGCTGAATTTTCATTTTTGGGTGCACTATCCCTTTAACTGAAATAGCAATCACACTAAAGACAAACAAACATAGCAAAACCAAGATGATGGAAGCCAGGGGAGAATAAAAGAGTGACTGCCTGCCATCAGCCTGCATGCAGAAGTGTCCTGCAGGGAAAGGATTGTCACATAGTTAAGACCAACTAGCAACAGCAACTCTTCAGTTTTGATTGGGCTTTTTGTGTGCAAGTTCACTTAATTTAAATTTATGATCCTACTGTATTTACTACTTAACTTAGTTTGTCATGTTAAATACTAGATGTCTGTATCCTTTTAAGTGACCTTTTAAATGGCCCTTCACTTTTAAAGGTGCACCTAAGTAGACACTGGTAGAAAAACTCTGAAGGTGAAAAGTGTACAATATATACTTACCTTTCCAACATACTGTGGTTCAGATCCCATATACTCCTCCAGGACAAAGAACTGGTTCCACACCCATCCTCTTTTCATACGCTGGACCCTCGACCTCCCACGTCTCCTTAGCCTCGTCCTGCCTTCTAATGATGTCCCTTCTCCCAAAGAAGACCTCACAGTGTTACCTCCTGTCCCTCCCCTGGCTGACATCACTCCAGCCTTAGTTCTGCTCTGGAATTGAGCCTGCAGAGGGATTTGGGAGCTGTAGTCCAACAGGAAACAGGAGCCCACCAGAAACAGAGTGACATATTCCCCTGTGATCATCAGGGAGTATCGCTGTTAAAGGAAAACTTATAGAAGGTTTACAAAAATGGCTATTTCCAAGTTGGAAATTAATATGCATCCAAAACTGTATTCTCCCTGCAGGTAAGAATTTGACAAAGTGTTTAAATTCCAGTAAGATCCAAGGCAATGAGAGAAATCTGTTAATGTGCTGTCACTGCTGAAGTCAAAGGGTTTGTGTTGAGAGTAAAAAGTCTTTGGTCTGTTTTTGGGATATCCAGGTGATTTCTGGAGTTTGACTGCAGACAAACCGAGATGATCACCTTGTCTTCTCTTCACAACTGTCCTCAGCTTAGACACCTGGAGGAAAAGATAAAAATAACAATGCTGAGCAGGGCTAACACATAGAAACAGACAACAATTCACACTCACATTCACACCTACGGACAATTTAGAGTCACCAATTAACCTATCCCCAACCTGCATGTCTTTGGACTGTGGGAGGAAGCTGGAGTACCCGGAGAAAACCCACGCTGACACAGGAAGAACATGCAAACTCCGCACAGAAGGGCTCCCTTCCTGGGAATGAACCAGGAACCCTCTTGCTGTGAGGCAACAGTGCTAACCTCAACACCACTGTGCCACCCCCAGTAACATCCATCCATCCATCCATTTTCATCCGCTTATCAGGGGCCGGGTCACGGGGGCATAAGGGCCGAGCAAAGCACCCCAGACATCCCTCTCCCCGGCAACACTTTCCAGCTCCACCTGGGGGACCCCAAGGTGTTCCCAGGCCAGACAAGATATGTAATCCCTCCAGCGTGTTCTGGGTCTGCCCCGGGACCTCCCACCAGTGGGACGTGCCTGGGACACATCCAGCGGGTGGCGCCCAGGAGGCATCCTAGTCAGATGCCCGAACCACCTCAACTGACCTCTTTCAACGTGATGGAGCAGCGGCTCTACTCCGAGCTCCCTCCGGATGTCCAAGCTCCTCACCCTATCTCTAAGGCTGAGCCCAGCCACCCCACGGAGGAAACTCATTTCCACCACTTCCACTGGTATGGGGACACCGGGGCCTCCTCCTGGAGCCAGACCTGGTGGCCGGGCCCTAGGCCATGGGGCATATCTCTCTCTCTCTCTCTCTCTCTCTCTCTCTCTCTCACTCTCTCCCTCTCTCTCTCTCACACACACACACACACACACATATACACAACAAGGATGTATATAGTTAGTTAGAATTTGTGTGTTTGGTTTTGCTTTGCTACTTTGTGAATAAATATAATTCTTTGGAATCATCCCTGTTGTCTGTTTAATGTTGCACAAGAGTGAATGAATAGTCAACCTCTGCTGCATCAAGAACTCCGAAATCCTTCAGGCGTTACTGTTAATTTTGGTTGTTGTCATTGATTTAATTATTAATCAAAACTCCAAATTAATAGTTTAGCGTATTTTATGAGAATGATATCTTTAACTGGCTACTATTTTCCCTTTACGGGAAAA